GCATTTCCCGTTACAACCTCAACCCTCCCCCTTAAGTCTTATTGCAGTAATATGCTCATCTAGAGCACATTTGACTTCCTACCTTTGCTTCTTTGGCCATCTGTGTGGACAATGACTCCAGATATGATAATAAATATTAAAGAAGTTGCACAGGAGAAGGTGATCTTGGCAAGTGGTGCCCGCTGAAGGGAAATGACAGGAGACTAATTAAAGCAGATCCCTTGACACCTCAGGTTACCATCTCAGGAATGGTAAGACTCTTGGTAGAATTAGGAAGCTCATAGATATAGCCCTTTTATTTCATATTCCCAACTCCCTAGAATAGCCTACAGAAGACATACCTGTGGAATTACCTTTTTCAAAAATTATTCCTTTGGAAGAATAGCATGTTTGCAATTCTAGGCTAATTCTGTTCCAGACCACTAAAAGTTCATGAACTCTGCCCCCTTCTTACTTTACTGAAATGAATACCCTTTTCATTCCCAGGGTATTTATTTGCTAGGAATGCCCAGATGTCATTTAAAATTCTGAGAACAAAAGAGTCCTAATTTCTTTATAGGCAGCCTTTACCTTCATGTCTCATTTGCACTTCTGAAGGGACTTTATTGGCCCTTTTTTATTGAAATTTTCCAGCCAGTGCAAAGTTTTCTCCAACCAGACACACGTATTGCCAGTGTGTAATGCCCAGTGTGTGTGATGTATGCTCTCAGTTGATTATAATCCTGGGAGCCTTTACAGTTTACATTATGTTTCAGGGCTTGGTCAAAAGCAATAACGAAAAGGCCTAGTTCTACCACCACTATAACCCCTTATCTTCTCCCAAATAGGAGACCTCTTGCTGCCTTTTCTTGAATGTTGCCTGTATGACTGTGATAGTGGTGAGTAACAGAGCTATAAATGGCTTACGGTGAGGAGTAAACATCATGTGGTCGCTCCCTTTGGAAGCTTCTGGAGTGGGAGGCATTTACTGAACCTTTGTGCACTTGCTATAATAAGTGATCTTCTATGAAGTGCTAATGGTATATGTCTGTTCTCTCTTTTGTGAAGCTATTCCACACAAAAACCCTGCTTTAACAGAATTTTAGTGTTAAGTATATAAAGCTTGAAACTGTTCAAGTAAAGACAGGTTTTATTTAGCCCACAGGTGATTCATGCACAGCCTCTCTAATATAATATTAGTACTGAACATGGTCATTTTTTCCACATACGGAGGTAAGGCTAAGGTCTGGATTAATGTCATATTTTCTTTCCTCTTTCAGCTGTTTTAGTCAGCTAAGGTGTTAGAGAAGAGCAGAAAATACAGACAGTTTGGAATTACTGATGCTTTTTTTAGACTAAATCTTTCATCTGCTTGCAGTTCACTGGTTTGAAAGTCAGAGACGATCACATTTAGATGGAATAAAAAATGGCAGATGCAGTGTTGAAAACTGTATTTTGGAAAAAGAAAAAAAAGGAGAGACTTTGTAATTCATTCCTTTACTTAAGTCTGTGTTTCTACTTCTTTCTTTAGTGAATGGCACATGAATTCCATGATTTTTTGCATTAAAATGACTGCAACTTTGAATATGGTTAGTAGACTCAGAGACCCTGTTTTTTTTTTTTTTTTTTTTTTTTTTTTGTCATGGAAGCTAAAACTGATATCCTTTTGACTATAATCAGAACTTCAGAGATTCTCAAAGTGGGAATAAAGTCTTGAGAACTCAAAACAAGAGTAATTCAGCAAATCAAAGAAGCGCTTAAGCGTGTGCTTAAATTCACTCTTAATCAGGATCACATTTAGGCTTGTACTTCCCTTTAAGTGCTCTTTATGTACTCTTTATGTTTTCTATACATGGCAGTAGTTGTGCAGTAGAAGAAGGTTGCCCGGAGTGGCAAGAGAGGTGCTGGTAAAGAGGCTGCAGCAGCTGCTGAAAGACTAACCAGGGAGCATGGGTGTGAGAATTATTAATGTAGCCTAAGTATCCTATTTTTGAGTTTAAGGACTCCCATTGATCACTGGAGGAGTTTGAGTTCTAAAAATAACACACCTTCGGGAGGCGGAGGAGCAAGAACCAGAGCTGGATGGAGGGGGGTCTGAGTGGATTGAAATATCATGGGGAGATAATAGCAGGTCCACTGGCAGTGAAGGGAGTTTAGGTAGCAATTATAAGCAACCAGAGAGGTGGTAGTACACCTCAGAGCAGGATAATGCTATTAGCAGGTTTTAAAACGGCACTGCTCGCAAGCAGTGTGCTTTGTCCAAAATGTAAGAACAGCGGGTTTGATTTTCCACAGCTCCTGAAGTCTGCGGCAAGGCTTGTAGACATCTTGGTTGCTCCTGCGATTGGACTGCAAGTGGTGAGGTCTTGAGCACTTGTTTGTTCCTCCTGTTGATCATATAGTCTTCTAGGTTCTGTTCCTCCTGTTGATCATATGGTCTTCCAGGTTCATGGCCTAGATGACTGGGTTTCCTTTGACTAGAGCTACGTGTTCGTGTGATTGGGAGGACTGGGGACAGCTGGCTTTTTAGTGGATCCCATAGCCTAGTGAGAGTCCATGGCAGGGGGAAGAGAGGTGCTTGCTCAACTGGATGGAATATGCCAGCAGATGGAGAATTTAAACTCTGAGCTCTTAAAAATTTGAAGTGATATTAATAAGGATTTCAGTGGGAGCTGAATGGTTAAGATCAGGGATCTATAAGGAAACTAGATCATTCCAAACTGGAGAAGAACAGAAGGATAGTTCAAGAAACTGAACATGTGGCTAAAAAGAATTGAACTAGATAGATTATTTAGGTGATTAGCAACACAGCAATCCAATGAGCAACCCTGTAATTTTAGTTTGTAAACTCTATGAGAAGTTCACCTAGAAGTAGGGACAAATCTGCCAAAATGGTATTAAAAAATCTCACATCCTATAAAAGAGGTTACAGCTGTCGTTCACTCGATAACCTGCCCACACTGTATTCAGAGAAAGAATTTGATATTGGCCTCTTGCAGTGGAAGGATCAGGAAACATTTGTGGCACCAAGGACCAATTACGCTTACGGGTGCCTGCTGCACTCTGCGTACCAGTGCTAAATACACACTCGCTATTCTGATCCAAGACTTGAGCATTAGAGTTTAATCATAGCAAGCAATGTTTTATCCACCCACCGCTGTAAAGCAGTCACCTTGTGATATTCAGGAACAGTCACAGAGCAGCTTGAAAGGGAAGGAGAATACTCAGCTGAAACACAAGGAGCGCGTGCGTGGGCAGGCGGTAATTACATAGGACAGAATTACACGTGCGAGCGTATCCCGGGGAGCCGTCAAACAGCGCTTCAAAGTTTGACTTTGTTTTTGAGATCAGAAAGAGAAGTACATGAAATTACCTGGCTTGAAGGAAATTTCCGCTGAAATGAAATGGCAGATTACTTTACTGAGTCAGATTGAGGGATAATTACGTTGTTTGACTCCCAAAGGTCAGAGAGTGTGTTAGTGCCATGAAATGTGGTTTTATGACCTCTTTTATCTGGACAATGCCATCTCTCATTTTTTTTAAGATAAGTTCATTAAGCTTTGAGTTCTTTACTCTGATGTCTCCAACATTTTTGAGGAGTGAGTACAAACCACGCAGGGCTTTTCTGAACAACACTTTTTTGTCTCCAGTGAAATGTTTCTTCTCAAAGCTAAGCAATTCTAATCCTTTGAATTCCCCTTCAATATTTGTTCAAACATGTACAGCCTCCACATGTTCAGTAGGCAAAAACTCCATTTATGTAACATATTGTGAAAAATAGAAGGTTGTCATTTTTGTCATTCTGTTTTATTTTACTTTCTGAGCGCTTTTAAAATGGTTTTGAGTAAAAAAGTTTTTGAGTAAAGTTTACCAAAAATTTACAAAAATAAAGATATTATTTCTTCCCCAAATATTTGTGTCTTAACCAAATGTATATCTTGAGAAAGTTAATGTCTTTCAAAACCTGTTTTCCACATGATTGGCCTGACAGGAACCACAAATATTAACAGCAAAGCTTCTATTAGTTTCAAAAGGAACAGAAATAGACCCTAAGGTAGTTTCAGATCACCTGTATAGACCCCCCCCCCCCCCCCCCCCCAAAAAAAAAAAAAAAAACACAGACCTGGAAGTCTCCATGGACAGGTCAGTGGAAATTGCTTTTCATTGCCCCAAACATCAGTTAAAAATCCCACTCCCAACCCTCTCCTCACACATTATATAAATATATAAAAAAATACTGAGAGGATATATACAGGTAGGACAGAAATTATTATCATACCATGTTGTAGAGTACTGTAGTCAGTGCTGGTCAGTCACAAAAATTAAAGCAGACATAGAGGAGGAGTGAAGATGTGGCAAAAAATAGATACATTGGCAGATCCCTTTCCATAAGAAGAGCAACTGGAAAAAAAAATCAGACTATTTGGGAAAAGAGGCAGACAGAGGCTTCTGAACCCTATCCAGCTCCCAGGACAGGGTCTAGCAGGCAGAGCGGAGAAAGCAAACCAGATGCACAAGCAAGGGGATTATCAATGCAACTGAAAACCTACACGTTATATCTAGCAGTGATAGAGGCAAACACCTGTTTGATTTTTATGTAAGCAATGCATCTGTGCTACCCACACAGTGGCTGTGGCACTTCACCTTACCGTGGGGTTTGTCACCCGCTGCTGGGCTCCGGGGCACGGGGGAGTCCCATGGCTCGCAGCCAGCACGTGCGTGCTGAGGGTGAACCTGGAATCATCCCTGGAATCATTCAGCATCTGGAAGAGCAGTGAAGTTTTGGCAGACAGAGATTTGGAGAGTGGGTGGCAAAAGCAAGGGAACCAAAAAGATGTGTTTCACACCCACTCGTTACTCTTCATGCTCCGGTGTAAACCAGTACACTGGGTGAAAGCAAAATTGCAGGCATGAGGAATATACTCCCCCTCACAACTTATAGCTGCTTTTATATTTTCTCTCAAAATATCTGTAAGTAAAGAGGTGAATGATTAATTTTTGGTCTTTTGTTTGTCACGCAGGTCTAGCGAGAGAAACTGAACATGTTCCAATGAATGGAGATTGTTTCAAATGTTTTATATGTTTGTACGAAGAATATGAACTTCCTAAATCTGCAGTACCCCATAACAAGCATCTACAGTTATATCAACACTTTTTTGTCCATTTTGCTTAACATACAAAAGTACTGAAGAAATAACATGATACAAAGCACAAAACAACAAGCAGTGAATGTATATATATTCAGGAATGATTTTGATCTACAAAATTTGAGGCAGAAATTGGAAGTTAGAACAAAAGTGAAATACTTTTTCAAAAAATTAGTACTTGCAATTAATTTGGTTTTCTTCTTTTTGGAAAAAAAACACAAAAAACAGAGACAAAAGTATTTTTAAATGATTTCATTAAGTGCAGATTCAGTGAAGAATATAATGTCTAATTTCCTGTTATGTTTTTCTGGTTATAGGACAGGCTTGGAATCATGTAAACTAAAGGAAGTGAAAATATTTAAGGGGTTGGTCTTTATGGTAAATTTAGATGAATACTTCTTTCATTGTAGAGCCAAAATATTCCTTTTTTTTCTTGAGAATCTGAAATACACTGATGTTCTGGTATTTATGCATCCCTTTTGCTTTGTATAGTGAAAATAGAAATGTGAGTTGCGTGATCGAAAACCCACAAGCTCTATTCAGATAAACAGGTCAGCCAGGCTTGATGAAATGTACTCTTGAATATGGTTTGAAGGAAAAACACAAATAAAAAGATACGTTGTTATATTGATGCTGAACACAAATCATGTATGATCATACTAACTCTTACATATAATGAACAAACCCTGACATTTGTTTTATATGGACTGTACATAAATGAAGACTGTTCAATGCATATTCTATTTTTGGAAACGAGAACTTATTGTTAGAGAAATTTAATACACTATGTTTCCTTGGTCTCACTTGTGTCATTTACTGTGAAAGAATAAGAGGAACTGTTTTGTAATAATATTCCTCTACCATTGATTGAAACTATTCTACATGCTTTGAAACTCTGCCTTGCTCTTGTTTACTCAATTAAAATAAAGATAATTATTCTGGTTAGAAAACAGATTTCAAGTTGAATATTACTAACAATGACATCCATTTAGTTGTTGCATGCTACATGACACGGTGCAAAAGCGAGTTGGCAATATTATTTTATTTTATTACATGTATTTGCATGGCTTTGGGCAGGAAATTAGAAAGGATTATTACTTGCTACTGCTTTCAGGGTGCTATATCAACATCGCTTTCTCTCCTGTTCCATTCTTAAATGCCTAAAGCTTTTTCCTCTTAACACATCCCGTGGAGGTGAACAGCCCCAAAAGACAAGCTGAAATGAGAGTGTCGACAGGCAGAATGCATCAGAAGCAGCTTTCATTTACGTGCCGATAAGATTTACGTGTCTATTGATTCAAAAATGAACAATTCTCCCTCCTACTGCATTATCAGTTACCAATATCGGACTGTTTTGTTCCTGCTATATGGAGGTGATAAAAAGAGGAACAAACACAGTCCTTTGAGCTAAAAGCATGCTGAAGGTGAAAGGACTCAGAGACTCAGATTTTCTTATCCTTTATTGAGTTTTAAAAAGTTCTCTAGAGAGAGGTGTGGAAAGCTAAAACCACTTATTTCCTCTAGCCTCCACTGTTAGGAAATTTCCCTGGTCAAAATTCCTGGGAACATGGGGAGCTGAGATCAATGTGAAAACCTTTTCTATGGAAACTTGGACATCAGACCTCCCAGCTCACTGAGCTCTGATTTTTTTTTTCTCACAGCAAAGCTTATATTGTCCTTCAGTAAGCAGATGCTGTTTACTTCCCAATGTTCTTCAAATACAGCACATAGTTATGAGTGGGAGATATCCCTGCCTCTGTTATTCCGAGGTTAAGCCTACATCAGACGTGCTTAAAAATCACAATGAGCGAAATCCCGTTCAACTAAGGAAGGGAATATATCCTGTTTTACACTTGTTTGTTTTGCAGAAAGATGACCTCTCAGCCCATAAAAACTACAGAGCTAGTAAAAAAAAAATAAAGACTTTCTAAACTCAAGGAAAAATGTTGTATATATTTTTATTTTATTTTATTTTATTTTATTTTATTTTATTTTATTTTATTTTATTTTATTTTATTTTATTTTATCTGAAATTTCAAAATATATTTGATTTTAATTCATCTTGAGATTGACAACGTCATGAGGACCAGTGGAAACTCTGAGTTACATCTTAGTACTACGAGGAATCTTTAATAAAACATACAGTCAATGAGTGCTGTGAAAAGGAGCTTGTAAAGGATCTGTTTGTCTTAGCTAGCAAACGGTTAGAAACTTTTCTGAACCAGCATATGCTGGTGATGTTACCTTTCATCAAAATCTTATGAAAGGACCTGACTGCAGAGTATACACAGATGAGTGAAAGATGTCCCTTAATTCTCCAGTCCGCTACTTCTGGCATAGCAAATGTTGGCCACAAGCCAACGTTTTTGCATTTGGTACCAATTTAAGGCAAGACCAAGGTCTTTTAATACATGATGGCTGCAATGAGGGTACGAGCCCTGCTTACTAACTGCATGTTCACACCTCATTACCACACTGACACATGAGCATTCCTAGACACTGAAGCTATGGTTGGAGCAAAATGAGCAGTTCATTTTTTTGAACCGTGGAGAAATTAAACTCTCCTCTAATCCTCAAGCCCCAGCTTGCTTATTGAGGAACCCACAAATAAAGCAAAATAACTGGATTTCAATATCATCTCTACTGTTCTCTGGGTAGTGCTGGAGTGACACTTACTGAAAGGACAATATTGCACTGAAGTCACTAAGCTCAACATTTGTAAGATGGAGCAAGAGCTTCTGTGGTTGACTTTCCACACAGATTTATACCTTATTTTTTTTTGCCTTTTCTGAAAGAAGTACTTGTTTATTTTGACCAAATGTATTTTACTAAGAAACTACTGAACAACACGGTGGAGACATCTTCTCTTAGAAGAATAATAGTAGATACTGCACTGTTTCCACAGCAAAAGATTTGGTCTAATGAGATGCCAAGGTCCTAGTATATCATGGAAGAGACTATTTACCATCACCTGCTGAACAAAAACATACTCTGCTCTTCTGCATAGAAATTCCAAACACATTTAACTTCAGGAGTAGACAAAATAATTTCTGTTACCTGAAAAATATGGGTAGCTTTAAGTATATTTCAAGAAACAATTTTAGTTTATTCAGTTTCAACTAAAAGATTATAAAGTTTTTGCATTATTAAGACAAGCTATGCTGCTTTCCTTAAGACACAGCAAGTTTAGCTTTTTGCAACTTGAATTCTAGACCTAGGCAGATAGTTTTACATTTTCTCTGGTGGTGTGAACTGTTATTTTTAGGAGCCCAAGGAAGATTCCGTTGCCCTATTCTCTCCACAGCATCTGAAGGGGAGCTGCCTCCCAAGAAGTGCTAATTGGTGAAGGATTAAAGACAACACATGGACAAAGTACATAAATCTCCTAAGTGTTGAGGAGATATTCTCGCAGCTGGTTGGCAAACTCAGCCAAAATCGGGAGCACTGACAGCCCACGTATAGCTGCACGCACAAATCAATGCTTCAAGATCCAGTTCACTGAGTCCAGTGTTATCTTACCAGGGCTGTGCTCAGTGCAATCCATGATGATAGCCATTTTATTTATTTGTTGCTGTATACTGTCAATAAACCTTTTATGGTAATATGTAATAACAGCTATCTGCATTGGGCATCTTGTTTTATAAAAAATGGCATATTATTGAAAGATACACTGAATTTGAGAAGGCCGTCCAAGGAAAGTAGTTTTATTTTTCTTAGTAATAGCTTTAAAGCCAAAATGCTGAAATTGTTTTCTTCTGTCTTTGTGAGTACATCCTTCTTTCCCCTGTGCACATTTCACATGAAACTCAGTTTTGGCTTCAGCAGTGAAGCAAATTAACCAATGTGCTTTGCAAAAAACATCCATTTTTTGTATATGAGCTGCCTAGTGCATGAATAATTATGTGCAAAACTCCCACTAATGCCAATTTTGCATCCCCAAAATGTACTTTGCATTACTTACCTAAATAAAAACAATTCTCTAGGGACACAATAATTAAGGCAGGATGTAAGATCAGTTGAACTAGATAAAATTGCATTTTTTCTATGTCTTTGATCCTAGTTTAAAACCATTTAGAAAATAAACAGGTCTGTTCAAATGTTACACTCACCTCCCACTATGTCACTTAGCAGCAACTCTGAAGTGAATGTTTTCAAAGCTGTCCTACAGAAGACTTGTGACAACTGCAGCTCTGACACGCAGCTGTGCAGTAGTAAAGTGACAACCTGAATATGAATGGTGGGTTTCATATGCATGGGTGGTTGGTAAATCGTGTCTTGTAATTAATTGATTGAATTGAATTTTCTCTAGATGTGGAAGGTGGCCTAACCCTTTGCTGAATTTTTAGTGAAACTGGAAATTGATTTAATGGCAAATTAAAACAAAAACCTGATACTTTTTTTTAAAGACCCAAACAAGTATCTAAAAGCATCAAGTCAATCCTTTAATGGTATCGGAGGAATCTAATTTACATGACCTCACAGCATAGCTGCCAGCAATGTAAAACACAATGTGAGCCTCTTCATTCAGCTTTATCTTTACTGAGGAGGAAACAAAGGCAGAAAAGCAGTTTGAGGGGTGCTCTCTTCTTCCCAAGGAAAGGTAGTTTCTGAAGGAGGGCTTCCTCCGAAGTGTTTGCGGTCCTCAGTGGCTGTATTTGAGCATGGGGGCAGGTGTGTTTCTGTGCAGTCCCTGCACCTGTCTGGGCACATCAGCTGAGGAGGAAGAGCTGGAACGCTGCATGTTTATCTAAAGATGTATAAACATATATACTGCGGTAAATGTTTGCTACAGATAGAGCAATAATTTTTACTGTGATTATTCTTCCTCTACAGTGACTCTTGATCTAATTTTCCTAGCTGATCATTTGCAGGCTCCAATTTGATCTAACACATCTCTTTCGTATCTTTTCTAATGCAAGCTAAAACAGCATGCAGTTGAATTGGGCATTAGAATGACACTGCACACAATATTTTATGTCCTTTTTAGCACATAGCTCTTGGCCAAGTGGGGCAAGCTTGGACACAGGGGATAAGCAGATGCCTGGTTGCACACAAGGAAGGTTCATATGACCAGACAGACTCTATGGGTGTTGGGAGAACACACAGAAAAGGATGGATTCATAGAGGTGAATATGGAGACAACAGGTATAAGATGCAGAAG